ATTTTGTATTTTACCGCCGTGGATTTATTTGTAATTATACGGCGCCTTATACGAAAACTTGGTCGTGTTAATTTCCGGGTAAAAACGACGGCTTTTTTTGAAACCGTCGTCTTTACTTTCTACGTCGGTCGGTTCATAACTTCCGCCGTTATTTGTTGGCTTCGATTTTACCTCTTGAAAATCCTATTTCAATAAGACGTCGGTTTTTAAATTAAGTACGTCGTGTTTTATGAACAGCCATTTGAAACTCCATTTTTTAGTTGTCTAATGTGTTATTTCACGGCGGTTTTATAAAACCGTCGTCTTTTAAAAAACAACGACGGTTTTCACTTAGACCGTCGTGTTTTTCTGGTCGTCTTTTTCACTTTTTGTTGTAGTGTCACTGATGAACAAGAATGAAAGTATCTGTACATTCCATAAACTCAAAACTGACTTAAAACTTACTTAAGTCATTCCATGAACAAGAACAAGCACTCAAAACTGACTTAAACCACAACCCAAATCACATTCCATAAACTCTTTCCAACACTCCCCTGTACCCAACACACATTAAAGTATAGATAATAACTCTCAAAAATAGCATATATCAATTCAAGATAATCACAATCTACAAATATCCAAATATACTACCAATACTTTTATAACAATATTATATTTCCACATTAAATATATAATAGGCTCAATAATCATATAACTCATTATGCATAGTTTTGCGTCTTGAAAATAAAGATTATTATTTAAAAATAAAGTCCACTCACATATAATCCAAAGCTGCTTGCCCCTGAGACGGTCCCGCCTGTTGAGGACTAGATTAAAATAAAATACTTCGAATGAGAACTTTAAAATAAATTCCTAGTTTTCCTGGGATTCCAAGTGTGTGAACGATGAACGAGAAGTTCCTAAGATCCAACTACGTGTTTCGAATGGTGGAATAACCTCGGAAGACGCTTGGTCAACATGTGTGGTCAAACTTCCCAAATTTGGTCAAACGGCCCGTTGGGCTCACGACCTCTGATTTCCAATCCGAAAGTTCCTACGGGCTCAACAATTTTTCTTAAACACGTCCTACAAGTTTAGTCCAGATCGAGTGGTAGGATCGCTCACGATCGCACGATCAGACGTCACTATTTTACGCAAACTTTGAGTCATTGAATCGGAGCATCCGGGACTCTGATTCTTGATCCCTGAATTCCTACATGATTCTAGAGGTACCTAGATCAACATATATAGAATGAAGCCGATTCAAAGGTCCGAACATATCGAACCCGGATAACACCTAATATGAGTAAATCCAATCGACCTTTCAACGATAACCAAATTCAAATCCGAGCATACCGTAGTGCTCGGGACGACATGGGGAAAATTTTAGGACCAAATGGACCACCCACGCGCTGCCGTGGCTTGAGAAAATTCCAACGACTGGAAAATTCTCAAAACAACCATCAATACCTATATCTACGTGATCCTGACAACTAGTGGAGCAACTTTTATTCTTGGGCCACGGCCAAAAAGTGGTCGGAACTTGCAGGAAACTAGAGTCGAAAATCGGCCAAAACTTAGGTTTCAAATTGTGTTTCAAAACTTCAAAATCGACCCTAACCAACCCAACCATCAACTAGATCACATTGAAAGGATGAGAAAGCATACTTGGATCAATAAAAATGGTGGTTGGAATCGTCGAAAATGACGAGGGAAAGTTAGGGTAAAAACTAGCCTATTTTTTGCGTTTTTTGGCGACTGGGATGGTTAGCTAGGCGGAGGAAGGGTGGGGTGGGAAGAGGACGTTGGACTGGTCGTTTTGGTACCGGCCCCGTCACCTGGGGTGGCCAGAGGAGGAAACTGCTACCAAAGTGTGGCCGACTATTGTTGTCGCGCGAGAGGGAGAGAGGTGAGGTCGAGGAGAGAGAGAGAGAGAGAGAGAGATCTAATTGGGCATTTAAAAATGTGACTTTGAAATATTTACGGTTGTGCCACTGCATTTCCGTTGATCGTAACTTCTTCGTTAAAACTCCAATAAGTCACTACGTGTTTACAAACTCGTATCAACGCGCTCTACGCAATGATCCATTCAATTCCCTAAAATCCTACCAATTAAGAAGTGACCAAAATGACCCTATCTTAATAGCAAATTTCATAATTAATTAAATTAAATAATTTAAATAAATAGTTAAAATTGGGTCAAGGTGTCACAAATTACATCCCATAACTCTTCCCCTACTAAAAAAGACTCCATGCGCGATCTCCAAATCAGGTAGTTTGACTGGTTGAGCAACTCTATGCCAAACTGAGTAATCCGATTGTAAGAATCCATCTATTAGAGAACCGCCAGCTAATCTTCTTCACCAAGGGTATGAACGACACAGCCACTACCACCCTTGTGGCTCTAATACTATGTTGAAAAAACAAAACCTAAGTAGTGTAAAACAAAATACACTAGCCCAAGATCAAACAACACTTGTAAAGATGAGCAACAATACTCCAATAGAATCACTACTCAAAAATTGAGTTTGGGTTACTAAAGAAAGATACACAACTTGAGTCTATTTGTATCTAACAAAGATACATAAACCAAAAAATACATAGCTTGAGCTAATGGAAGAGACCGAGGGACACTTATCCCATCTAACAAATAACATAGATAAATGAAAAAGTAAGTATTTGTTCAGTGCTCCAAAAAAGCAACTTTAATATTCAACAGGGTCATATTGCGTTAGTGACCGAGTGTCTACCAATTGGAAGAGTTGGAAGGTCTATTAGTATCTACATATGAGGTGGGCAATAAGGATGCCAATTTCGTTCAAAATGCATCCTATATATGTAGTGATTTTCCTATTATAAATGTGGTAACATTGGTTGGTTGGTTGCGATGCTCTGGGTTTGATGGACAAGGCGGTGGGGAGGAGGAGGGGGTGATGTGCGGTGGGAATTATTTTTTTGGGTAATTTTCACTTTACTACATTAAAGTTTACCAACTTCTAAAGTTCGATAAATCAATTTTCTTTCGTCTCAATTATATACACAAAGTTGATTTTCTTACTACTTTACATGTTGTCAGTCTTTCTGTTAACAAGTCTGTTAACTGCTTATGTGGCAACAAATGTGCCATGTAAGACTCACTCATATTATGCCACGTGGTCCACATATATTATTAAATAATTAATTAATTAATTAATTAATTAAAAAAACTTCAAATTAAAAACTAAAAATAAAAATCACTCTCTCTCTCCCCTCTCACAACCCATTCCCCCCTCCTCCTCCTCCCACCCCCTTAAAACCCAGAGCCCAACCCAGCCCACAACCCGCCCAAAACCCGCAAAACCCAAAACCCACTCGCAACCCCACCCCTCATATGCAAAGTGTTAGAATTTTTTTTTTCTTTTTCAATTTTTAAATTTGCTCAGAGGGAGAGAGAGAGGATTTGGATGGGTCTCAGGTGGGGCTAGGGGTGGATCTTGGTGGGAGGGTGGTTGTGCGATGGGGATGGGCTTGGGGGTGTTATGGGTAAAGAGAAAAACAAAGGGTAAGAGAGAGGAAGAAAGGGAGAGAGCGGGTCGGGGAAGGAGGGATTGGGGGTTGGGTCGAGGAAGTGGGGGGGTCTGTGAGTTTGAGTTTGTGTGGTGGGGTGGATCGGAGGGATCTATTCAACTGTTAAGGTTGGCTGGGGTTCTAGGTTCAATGGGAACAGAGGGTGAGAGGAGAGAGTGAGAGAGAGAGGGATTTTTATTTTGATTTTAAGTTTTTTATTTAACTAATTAAATAATGTTTATTTATTTAATAGTATATATGGATTACGTGGCATCATATGAGTGAGTCTACATCACATATTTGTTGTCATGTCATTAGTTAACAGACTTGTTAACAAAAAGATTGATGGCATATATGAAAGTGGTAAGAAAATCAACTTTGTGTAAGTGACTGAGACGAAAAAATTTGATGTATCAAACTCTAAAAGTCGGTAAACTTTATTGTAGTAAAGTGACATTACCTTCTTCTTCTTTTTTTCAATGTTAAGATTTTACTTTGTTTTTTTATGTCTTTAATATTTATTTTTAAAATGAATGACTTCTTAATAATTTGTTGACTAAATTACCCCTCTACAACTAAGAGATCTCAACAAAAATTGATATAAATTGAGGATTATCCTTGAATTACTTCAAATTGAAACTATAACGACAAAATTGACTAAATTAAAATGACACACTAGGAGAATCAAAAGTGGCTTTTTGCCATAACAAAAAACAAAAAATGGACTCTATACAAGTTACTCACTTGAAAAAAGTCGTTAAAGTCAGAATTGATACACCCCCTTAGGGTTGTGTTATTCTCTCCTCCATTTCGAGTCGCTCCTCACCTTCTTCCATCTCGATTACAGCGGCTCCTCCTCTCCAGCGGACAATTTCAGCGGCTCCTCCTCTCCAACGGGTAAGCCTCCTTCTCCCTTCTTCTACCTCCTTAAATCTCTCTCTCTCTCTTAATTCGATTTTCTTCGAAATTTTCTCAGTCTTAGTGCCGTGTCTCAGTCCTCTCCAACGGGACAATTTCCGGCGGCAGATCTTCTCTCCTTTCCAACGGGTAAGCCTCCTTCTTCTCCTTCTTCTATCTCCTTAAATCTCTTTTTCTTAACTCGATTTTCTGTTATCTCTTTAACTAATTCTTGTAGTTCTCTATGATAGGAGAGGACCGAATTGTAGTAATTTTTTTCTTTCGTCATTCGAAAAACATAATTTTGTCTTGGTTTGAATCCCGAGTTCATGCTTTTGCCTTCATCCATATGAAAAGTGTTTTTGAATAGTCTATTGCCTATAAATTATTTTAATGTCTTTTCCTCATATTGCATATATTGCCTTTAAAGATGTAAATGTAAAACCATGTTTTTTCCTCATATTGCATATTTTGCCTTTAAATATGTAAAACCATGTTTACTCAATCCATGTTTACTACGAGTCGAAACCCAAAAGTCTGCAAAACATTCAGGTAAAATTGGCGTTAGTTTCTGTGCTTCTCTATGCTTTTGGTTTTCCATTCTAGGTTTTAGGGCATTCTCATGATCTAATTTCTCAACACCACCGTCTTTTTCTTTAACCACACTCGCTGATTTTTTGATCTTCAATTCGTCGTCTTCTATTTTTTTATTTTTTTTTATTTTATTTTCTGGTCATGAATTCAGCTTTGGCATCTTTATTTGTTGTTTGGTGGGTGCGTAAAGAATAGAAGGAAAATAATGGAAAAGAAGAACACTTTTTCTTTATTGCAATTTGTTGAACTAGGGTTTTCTTAGTGGAAAAAGCAGCCAATCACTGTTTTCGAGTTTGGGTTTTGGGGAGGGATTGAAACACTGAACAGGGTGATGCTGTTTCTCAGCAACCCATCACTGTCTTAGTTGAAATCAATGAATCATTGCATTCTGGGGTTTTTTTTTTTTTTTGGTAGGGATTTGAGGAGAGAGTAGCAATGCTCAAGGGCTCCAAGGGCAAGTGTGAGTCTCCATCTCACAAGCTCTTGAAGGAAAAAACAAAGACACGATTGGAAGACCTTCAAGGGATGCTCACCAATGTTCAGGCTGCCAAGAAAGAGAGTGGAACTGATGACATTGTATTCTTGGTGGAACAAGCGAATCAGATGGTTCGGGAGTGGAGGGCCGAACTCAATGAGCCGTCCCCAGCATCTTCTCTACTGGTGCATTTCCTAATTTGGTGGCCGCACCAATTTTCCGCTTTGTATTCTGTATTCTGTATCTTTTGTGTGAACTAGTGTTAGGTAGATATATAAAATTTTATATGCGAATTCTGTAGGGTGGTAGCCTTGGATCATTTTGCGAGGAGGAGTTAGCTCGGGTCTTGAAACACTTAGATGAGGAAGATGATGCAACAAGTCCGTTAAAGCAACTGCCACCATCTATGCCAGAATCCGATCTTCTAAACATTCATTCGAGTAATATGTTGGCATTTAAAGAGGTGTATATTTTGCCCTGTTGTTAATGTTATGTGTATATGACTGTTGTGCTGTATCAGCTAACTTTTCATTTGAAGTTCTTCTTTATGTGTTGTCATTTGGTCAACATAGTTTTCCCATTCTGTTTTGGAATGATTGTAAGGAAAAGAGATTTTCAGCTAAATTTGACACTCTATATTTCTTTGGCTTATGAAGATAATGATTACATGTCATACACCCTTCCCGACAACCAAATAGATTGAGATTTGTTCCTTCTTCTTTCTTGGATTGTAATTGTTGATTGTCATCCTTTTTTATAACATCTTTTGCACTTCACACACTTCTGGTTTTGTTGGAGTGCCCAGAATTTGATTTTAATAAAAAGGTTTTGCTCTTATGCATTGATTTGTCAGTATCATTTTATTTTATTTTATAAATTAAATTTGGTAAAGCTAATGGTATTTGCTGTTTTCATACATATTCTGAGTGGTAGCTTATTTAACACCCCTATATTTTAGATGTCAGGATACTTGATTCAACTTTCCATTAGTTTAGACAGTACAGCTTGATTCCTATCTACAGATACATTTTTTTGTTCTTTTTCTTTTTCATTAATTGACTTTGCAATTGTCTTATTCAAATCTTTTTAGTAATAACTAAAAATCCTTTTATTTTTAATGTTCATATGCTCGAAGAGGTGAATAATGCTCTAATGCAAGTGACCTGTAGTTTACTGAAGAAGTACATTTGTAATATTCGGGATATTTGGTGCAAGTTTCCAATATTTTTTTTAAGTCGAATGTGATACTTCCCGTATTGGTTGCTTTGGCATGTAATTAATTATGAATGCTGGTAGTTCACCTAAAGTATGTGGTTTACTTCAGTATGATCGCAGAATGTAGTCTTGACAGTATGCTGTTGTTCAGAATGCAAGGGTAGGTATACTTGCTTCATGATTGATTATTCACGATCTCCCTGTGTGACCAACTTTTCAGGAATTTTTTGTTTCTAAGGAACCTGAAGAAGATATATTTCAAGGATTTGACCAATGCTACACTGCTTCCAATTTGCAGAATACAATGGTTGATAACTCAGATTTAACTACTCAATTAAAATATCATCACTTTGATTTTCATGAAGACTTAGATGAAGGGCTTTTCATTGAGGGCAACAATATCACGCAGTCTGAAGAGGATGTTGTGCCAAATGTTCTGCCAGATATATGTCCTCCAGTATCTGCTTTCTTGGGGCCAAAATGTGCTTTTTGGGAGTGTTCCAGGCCCGCATCAAATAGGTGCCAGAACTATTGCAGTAGTGGTCATGCTCTTTTGGCACTAAATGAAGGTCTTCTTGGAAGGCCTCCAATTTTGCGACCTGGAGGCATTGCTTTGAAGGATAGTTCACTTTTTGCCGCACTTAATGCTAAGACACAGGGGAAGGATGTGGGAATCCCCAATTGTGAAGGGGCTGCTACTCTAAAATGTCCATGGAATGCTCCTGGTTAGCCGGCATACTCTTTTTTTTTTTTTTTTTCCCTCAATATTTTATATTCCTTTTTGGTTTAGCTTGTTCGTTATCCTCCATGAACATTTACCGCATCACTCACTACTATCAACCTATTTATATTTTCTGTTTGGTTTCTTTTTCCTGTTGGCTGTCATTCTTTGGTTCATTGTGATGTAGCTTGTTATCTTCTTATTTTTGACGGATTGGCTTTCAATATTGCAGAGCTATTTGATCTTTCCTTTCTTGATGGTGAAACCATTAGGGAGTGGCTTTTTTTTGGTAAGCCTAGAAGGGCCTTTGAGAGTGGAAATAGAAAGCAGAGGTCATTGCCAGACTATAATGGGCGTGGTTGGCATGAATCAAGAAAGCAGGTTATGAAGGAATTTGGGGGGCAGAAAAGGTCCTATTATATGGACCCACAGCCTTCAAGCGATAGAGAGTGGCATTTGTTTGAATATGAGGTCAACAACTCAGATGCCTGTGCACTATATAGGTTGGAGCTCAAGTTTGGCAGTGCAAAGAAAAGTTCCAAAGGAAAAGTATCAAGTGATCCGCTTGCTGATCTGCAGAAGAAGATGGGAAGGCTCACTGCTGAGGTTCCTACAGATGATGCAAGCACTGTTAAGGGGAAAGCTAGCACAAAGGCTGATGCTGGAAATATTTTTTCTTCTCATAATCAGACAACGTCAACTACCTAAACCCTGATGTTTTGGAAATGTACATTTTGCTGAAATTCAAATTACTACATTCACGAGTGTTGTGGTTCATACAATCATATCGCCACAAATATGACCGACTGTTATGGTACTTAGTTGGGAAAACTTGCCTGCATGTAAGAAGAATCTAACATTCTAGTTTGTCGAGTTTCCACTGTGTATTGACGTATTGTTTGTGTTATTCTACCTTTTTTGGGTGATGAGCGGACCTAGTGTCTTGATGCTGTCAAGTTCTCCCGCGCTATGCTAGATGGTTGCAATCTGCCTCAACTTCACTTCTGAAAGATCTTAACCATCGGGGTAAGGTCGACAATGATGCCAATAATTTATTGAAGTGTACAGCCTGCTGAAATTACAGTAAATTTGTGATAATGTACATAAATGCTTTTTCCTTCTGTGTTTAATGATGGTTGTATTGTGAGGTTTTAGTTTTTATTTATTCGTTTATTATTATTATTATTTTTTCTGTAATTTTCTGGGAGTAGTAGCGTAAGAAAAAATCTTTAGGATAACTCGCTATATTTTTTAAAGCATGTCAAAGAAAGAAATGAAAATGAAGGATAGTTCATCCGAAAAAATAAAAAATAACTAAAAAGAAAAATAGAAGATGAATCACTTGTGAAATGGTGTGATATCTTGTCAACACCTTATAATTGTTCACCTCTACGTTGATTTCCTCCAACATATGCTAGATTTAATGACTTATCCAATCCAATCCAATTCTAGGTATCAAATGTTAATGGATTGAATTGGACTTGATAACTCACTAGATTCAAGCTCAAAATTGAATGAGATTGGATTTAATAACTCAGTAGATTTAGCGTCTTTTTTTGAAACAAATTTCGACTGCAGTAACGTTAGGAATGCGTTAAATCCCAATTCCACTGCCAGTTGAAGCATTATACAGTTAACTAAGGTTTTCAGACCCAAAAAAAAAAAAAACTAACACTTGAGGAAGCAAAATGGAGGGGCAATTTGAACTCACTCGTGCCTTCAGATAATGGTCAATGTCTTCTTTACTGCATAACTTGAGACTTATCTGGTGTTTCCTCATAAATTTGATTATGAATAACACCATGCAAACGCCTAAAAAGCTGCTTCTTTAATGATTCAAAAGCCATGTCCAACATTTTTAGCTGTTCCATTGCATTCGTATTGTACAGGAACAACCCATAGTAGAGATCAAAGCTATCTCCTGCCGTAGTCTCCACCAAACTCAACAAAGTCTTGTAACCATTTGTGTCGACTGCTGTCGATTTCAAACCCAACTTTCCCAGAACCCTTCCCACAGTGTGTGTAATGAATTGTGACTCTGCTGCATGCATATCATGTTCTGCGCAAGACATTTCAACCATTTTGCAACCTTCCCGTGCAAATATGTCCAGAAATTTGTTGCACCGTGATACTCTTGATTCGTCACCTCCGACTCTGACCTTGTCATAAACAAAAGGAAGACCATTCCACCCATTTTTACCACTCTCCGGTCCAAACATAGGATGCGTACAGAGTATATCACAATCCAGCGGCAAATTTTGAAGTAACAGAATTCTCGGGAATTCTTTTACCGAAAGAATATCAACAAACAAAGTATTCTTCTTCAACCTTTGCAATGGCAATGACCTAAGGACTTTCTCAGTTGAAAGAATGGAAGTACAAATCAGTACTACTTCTGGACGCTTTTCGAAAAGATCCTCTGCATTGGAGAAGTATGCAACCCCTAATTTTTGAGCCACATCGGTGTAATCCGATCGAGAGTAGGCTAGAACTAAATGGCCTTGACGTACCATTGTTTTAGCGAGGAACCGACCGAAGTTTCCAAACCCAACAATTGCAATCTTGAGCCTTGAGTTGTCAACAAAACGATCTGAAATCTGTGCCTTGTGGTCCTGTGGCTGAGCAGCATTCTGCCATCTGAAAAACACAAGTAAAATTATTTGTTAACAAACCACTGACATTAGCTACAGAAGTTTTAAAGTAGCAAAATGGATCTTCTTTTATAGTAAGAAAATTATCATAAGATCTCTAATCCTTTAACAAATTTCTAATTATAAGATCTTTTATGCTAGTGTTGTTTTGGATCTGATATTTCTTTTGGTTTTGTCTATTACAGAAGGTCATTGGAACTTTACCTCATAGCTTTTGATGTTGAAGAAGATACCAATGCAGTTCCATTTTGATCTTCCTGCAAAGGTGCTGCTACTTTATCTGCATTGCCATTGCCAAACAATTGGTTTCCCACAAACTGGTGCAAATACCCAAAAAGCTGATTCTTCAGGGCATCAAAAGCCAAGCCCAACCTCTCCAATATCTCCAAAGCATTTTCGTGGTGCATAAACAACTCATAATACAAATCAAAGCTATCCCCAGAAGATGTATTCTCCACCAAACCCAACAATGCCTCATACCCTTTTGTATTTATCGGCGTAGACTCCAATTTCAACTCCCCCAACACCCTCCCAACTGTGAGAGTGATAAACTGAGAAGCCGCCGCGTAATTGTGGTGCTCAGCACAGCTCATCTCCATCATTCTAATTCTAAACTCCTGTTTCTCAAAAATGCTTAAGATCTCGTGGCACTATGAAATCCCCAAAGTGAATAGCGGCGATTTTGATTTTGAGGGCTATGGGCTTCAGAAATAGTTGAGTCTTTAGGAGTTGCACGGAGCAGGAGAGAGAGTGTTTCGTTTTTTTTTTCAGTCCCAGCCGCCGACGTATGCAGCACGGACATTCCATCAGGCTGAAGCCTCCACGTGTCTGCGACACGTGTACACACCCTAAACCGAATGCACCTCGTCACGGCTTGAATATGGGTCAATGATGAAGACACTTTTTGGACACAATCAAGACATTTTTGGACACGGTCAACAAAAGTCAAGACACTACAAGGACCATTTTGGAAATTTTAAAACAAAAACTGGGGTCACAACATAGTTATTGAAACAGTTGTGAGCATATTTGAAATAGTTTTAAAAGTGGGCTTTTCTTCTCTCCCAGCCAGCTGCATCTTTCATAAAAAAAACCCATATTTTCTTCTCTCCCTCTCCACATATTCTTTCTTCTCATCTTATTTTAAATTATTGGAAGTCGAAATATCAATAAATGCTTACGAACTGCTCTAGGTGAGGCGAGGGTCTGACTTATTTATTTATTTATTTTTATCAGTTTTATCAGATTTCTGGCTTCAATTTTTTTGTTTAAATATATTTTTTTTCCTTTGTTCCTTTGTAGCAGAGCTGATATTTTTGGTTGACTAAAGATGTTGATAACAATTTGGTCGTGCGAGAAGCATCTTTTTGAGTAGGTAATTCATTCACTTTGTTTCGTTTTTCTTTTTTTCTTTTTTATGCTAAGCCAATTCTTATTTTATGAGGTGGGAAATCGTTTTATGTGTTAATAAATATGTATATGGTGCTTTATTGTGTTTAGGGAACGATGAGTAATGCTAATTCGAAGGAGGCCTCCTCTCATGCTCAATCATATTTTGTGGTGCATTAATTATTATGTATAAATTATGAATGAGTACTCTGTTTTGTTTTGTTGTATTATGACATTGAAGTATTGAGTATGAATTATTTTTAATATAAGTATATACTATTATAATTTTAATAGGATTTATTATTATTTTAATTGTCGTGCCCTAGCCGTATCCTTGTCCCTGCAACATAGCCACCAACTCTCATTCTCATTAGCTTGTATAATTATCTAATATTATTTGTAGGAGCACTCTCCAATAAGTATTTAAGTTAAGGATTAGTTACATACTTCTAATCTCAACCACTGGATTGCATCTAAGAGACTACCAACACATTTAATGAATGCAATTCAACGCCCAAGATTAGAAGTGTGTAACCAATCCTTAACATAAAATACTTAATAGAGAATCTCTCATTATTTGTATATTAGGAAAGACGGTTTGCCAACGCGTCTAGCATAGTGAAAAATAGTATGTACTTTCAGACTAGTGGTCTCATATTCGAACCCTCATAACACTTTGATACGTATAAAAAAAATCTACCTCCACCTTCCTAACTTTGGCCCAAAAAAGAAAAAGAAAAAGTGGGAGAGCTTTTGGTCTTAGAAAATGAAAAATCATAATGCTTACCAACCATTCTCTTTACTATGTCCCATGTACTTACCAGACAAATTTGACCAAAATATGATTTTGAACAATTTTTTTTAGGACCTTTCTTATTGAAAGAGAACATAACATACTAAACTCACACATACTATATGGATACTAGAACTTGAACCCAGAACCCAAGAACTTTCTTGGGGAAGCAATAGCTCCAAACAACTATACTAGTGGGTGCTTTGCTGATTTTAAATGTACATACATCTACTTTATTAATTATTACAATTTAATGACATAGTTTTTGTTGTTGCCAAAGTTAGGAAGGGTAGAGAGGGTGGGGAAAAACTAACACGCACGAGTACCATGAGGGCTTGAACCTAGAACCATTTGTGCAAATCCAACTAACACCCCCATTGGTTTTAATCACAATAGTTTAATTTCATGCATGGAATTTTGATTCCAAGTTTGCAACTTTTTGAACCACATTGACTAAAGAGTAAACCTGCAAGCTGCATGATAAATTCGACAGAATCCAAAATACTTCATATGATAGTTTGGTTTGACTGACGTAGGTGGAACGGCATAAATTGCTTCATCATACTTGATGTGATGAAAAATATAAGGAACGAACACATTTATTATTAAATGATTTTGGAGTTGATGTCATCTATAATTTATAAAATTAAATGACATACAGGATTACTTATTACACAACTAATTCTAATAGTTCCGCACATGAAATGTGTTTTCTTCAATTAAAAATGAGGGATGAGGGAGGGATAAACTGAGACTTGTGCTAGTGCTGAACTGAAGACCACGAATTTGCATCAATCCAGTTAAAAGCTATAGGACTCAGAAAAGCATCAGGGATGCCAAAGGAACTGACCAAGGCAAGTGCATGTGGTCGCAGTTCACCACACAGTCTGCTTACTTCTTTCCTCACAGCAGCAACATTATCAGTTGATAAGTACCCAAATCGGAGGAACGCCAGGTCTTCTTCCAGGCAAATCAATGCATACATGGACCTCAACATAGCTAAGACATTCTGCAGCCGAAACAAATATGTAATCAATAACTGGATTTATTTCACCTTCTCAAAATAATTTTATAGCTCCTGGAAATTGATTAGTAACAGACATTTCATACAGGAAAGTATTCCAAACATTACAATGGGGAAAGTAACTTCAATATAGACAGTCTACTAAGAAACTCTAATTTAATTCTCCTGTTAACTCGATCGTCAGGCTGCAAAAGAAGTAAGGCAGATTGTTGATTTCAGATGGAACATGAGGCATGATTTTTATTTTTATTTTATTTTTTATTTTATTTTATTTTATTTTTTGACTCAGGCACAACAAAACCTGAGCA